GAGAAGCTTTTCTTTCAGACATTTTGCAATTCAAGACGTCGTCCAAAGCCTGAGACATGTTTTCTTCATTCCATCCACCTTTTTTGGCGTTTAATGCTCTTGACCTCATCCTCCTTTTGGTCTTGTATTAAAAAATTATTTAATATCATTTTACTTAAATTTCCTAATATTAATAAAAACATTATTACTATCACAATCTCCAATAATTTTTTTATTAAAATTGAAAATTGGAGCAAAAGATATTCTAGAACTTTTTAATTTTTAAATTAAAAATTCATAATTAATAATTATTAAAATTGAAATTACAAAAGTAATTGATATTTAGTTAGATATGGATTCAATTCCAATTACTAATAAACCACTGTGACCAGGGTATCATTCTTTATATAAGTATTAGTATTTATTAGAGTGGTTCATTCTGTACACACAAAGCTGGTCCATCCTGTACCACATGGTAGTTGGACACTAAAACGGACATGCCAAATAAATTAAAAAGGATAAAGGTGTCAAATCAACACTATCGTGTTCAGAAAGCATTATTTTATAGAAACTGACAAAAAAACAAAAACATACCGCTCGAAATTTTTCTAAAACACTCAAAAAGAAACAGACGAATATTTCACTTTTTCTCGCAAAAAAAGGAAAAGTGAAACAGTTAAATCGGCTACTAAAAACATTTAATAAAATTTACATCTGGTTATAGAAAGCCAAGAGACGTATATGAATTTAAATTTTAAAAAAATGTTAGCGCATGTTTACTATTTTTAATTTCGAAGGTCCTTTCGGTACCTGGTCCATTCGACCCCAGTCTCCCCTAATAGTTTGTGGAGAGCACTAAAATATCGGATTTTCAAACATTTTAGAAGTAGGAATAATTGTAATAAAAATCATCAAAAGAATGAACATTAATTATTAATGTAAACATCAAAAAAACAAACTTTTTAGATGCCATTTTAGCACTCGCAATTGTATCAACTTTTTTTTTAACAAAATACGAAATTTCTAACAATCTACCGCGAACACCTACAAGAAATTAATTACTTATTATAAATTATAAACAACGCTAATATTACCTAAAACTGTAAATATTTTTTTAAGTCTGAAGAGTTCTAAAGAAAATAATGACCGCACCCTATTAAGGTGCAGTAGGCACTAATGGGTTAAAAACTCATCCTCAGATCCTACCTTTTTATCTAATTATAGACCTGTTACTAATATTATTTTCATCTCTAAAATAATAGAAAAAGTAGTTTTTAATCAATTGTCATCTTATTTAAACTTTAACTCCTTGCTACCTGTATCTCAATCTGGTTTCTGACCTACTCAGTACTGAAACTTCTTTACTCAAAATACACAATGATATTCTTCTCTCTAGCGACAATAGTAATCTTACTCTTCTTCTTGCTCTTGACTTTTCCTCGGCTTTTGATACTGTTGATCATACTATTCTCTTGAAGCTGCTACATTTTTCTTTTAATATTATTGATTCTTGTCTGTCTTGGTTTTTTTCTTATCTCTGTAATCGTTTTTCTTCTGTTCTTCTCAATAATTCTACTTCTAACTCCTCTATTCTTACTTTCGGGGTACCTCAGGGTTCTATCATTGGCCCTCTTCTATTTATACTCTATACCTCTCAACTACCTTGTATTATTGATAACTTTTTTTTAGTCATTTTAATGCTGATGATTCTTACATTTATACTTCTTTTCTTCCATCTAATCTCAATAGTGTTCTTCATAATCTATCTCTATGTCTTTCTTCAATTATCGCTTGGTCTGACTCTATGTGTCTTAAACTTAATCCTTTTAAGTTTTAATTAATTTGTTTTAATAAATCTAAATACTCTATTACTATTCCTCCTATTATCTTACCTGATTCTAAAACTCTTGATGTCTCTCACAAGTTTCGTAGTCTAGGTTTTATCTTTGATCTTACTATGTCTCTCTCTTCTCAGATTAATAGTGTTGCTAGAAGCTCTTACTTTCATCTACGTAAAATAAAAAATTTCGCCTTTTCTTGATGATCCTACTCTTCTCCTTCTTGTTACTTCGTTAGTCTTATCTATGATTGATTATTGTAACTCGCTCTACTATGGTCTTCCTGACTCTATACTCTATCCTTTAAGTAAAGCTTTTAACTCTGCTGCTCGTCTAGTTGCTCGTGCCCCTTTCTTTTCTCATATATCTCCATATCTTGTTCTCTTGCATTGGCTACCTATAAAATATAGAATAATTTTTAAAATTTGCACGTTCATGTATAAGTCTCAATCTAAATTATTTCCTAAGTACTTATCAGATATATTAATTGAACCTAAACGCCCCGGTTTACGATCGTCTTCTTCTTCTTGCTTTTTCTTAACTCTTTTGCCAAATCTGCTTTTGCTTTTTCTGGCCCTTTTCTCTGGAACTCTCTACCTACTTCTCTGACTACTTCTCCATCACTTACGAAGTTCTGAGCGGATCTCAAGACCCATCTGTTTTCAAAATTCGTTGAGGAGCGCTGTTGAACATCGCGGAAATAGCGCTTTATAAGCTGATTGATTGATTGATTGATTGATTGATTGATTGATTGATTGATTGATTGATTGATTGATTGATTGATTGATTGATTGATTGATTGATTGATTGATGGTGAAGTAATTTATAAATTCAATTATGAATTACCAATATGACAATACCAGGGAAAGTTGCGAGTGTTGAAGATGATGAGGAGGGCACAGGTGGCCATCGTCGGAGGGGCTGACTCCAAACTTTCCATCTTCCAGGTTCTTCACACTGTTCTGTTTGTTTATATTGCATGATTCTTTTGGGCATGATTTATCACAAAAATATTTTCACAAGAGATGCTATTCAGATTAGAAATTTCTTACTTTCTCCATATGGTTGTTTAGGTTGATGGCAAGGAGAATCGGAAAATTCAAACAATTGCTGTTGAAAATTTTCCAATCTTCTCAGCAGAACTGAATGTTCCAGAAGATGAGATCATCATTGGATCGATGTTTCCGACATTTGTCATGTATAACATGGATGTTGGCAAGATCACAAGGACCAGTGTCAAAAGTTGGTGCTCTCTCTTGTTGTTCATGTTTAAAATACGTTGGTGGTAAGGTTGTTGTTGAAGAAGCATTTTTTTTCTTTATGAGATAAACTAGGTGTTGGTTTTTGCAAGAGAGGTTGCTTTTAAGGTTGTTTGATTTAAAGTGGATGCATGTTTTGATCAAACGAGCTCGCTTTTGTGATTCATTTCAATGGAGTTTCAATTTGAACTCTGCAGTCACGTACCAAAATAAAATATTTTATGCATTTTGTATAATTTTTTAACTGATGGAAGTTGATGATTTCAAATCAACGTTTATACAAACCTGCAACCACCAACTTTATTAATGGACTATTCATGTTTAAATGTTATTTGTTATATAACGGATTTATTGAACATTATTTTTACACGTTATTTGTTTTTATTTTTCCTTTTAATATCAAATGTTCCTGAAGGCTGTTAGCATATATGCTCGTATCTTTTATAGACATTGAGCAAGTTCGAAACACAAAGTTGTTCACAGTGTCACCAGATGGAAAATTGATGGTTCTTGTCGGCACCTTTGGACACGTTCATGTGCTTTCTATAAAGGTTTTTTAATACATATAAATATAAGGTTTTTATACTGTATAATAACACTGTCACCGAGTTAGCTCAGTCAGTAGAAGTGCCATACCACGCGTTGCCGTTATGTGTTAGCATTGTTCAAATACTATCTCTCCAAAATTCAATGATCACCGTATGCGTAATAGCGTATGACGCGCTACTTCTGTGTGCATACATAATGTGTATGTGCGTCGTGTTGTGTGGATAGTACAGCCTTGGTGGCAGGCACGAAAGTTTAATTATAAGTATGGAATAACATTTACGTAGCTCTGCGTTTGGCAGAGTTGCATTGTAAAGATTTAAAAAATACTACTACTGATAATAATGGCGTTCGGTTGAAATAAAAATTAAATATAATGTTCTTTCAAAGTCAAAAGGTCTCTTACAGACTCTCAAGTCTGAGAGTGAATCGATTGAGGCAGTCACATTTTCATCAGACGGTGAAATGCTGTTCACCCACTCAAGTTTGTTCATGTATTGTCGTCGTCGTTGTTGCTGTTGTTACTTGTCGCTATGCAGTTGTTTTATTATAAATATTCTAACTACGTACTTTTGCGTGTTGTTAGCTGTTGTCAGGTGAGAAGAGCCGATAAATATTATTATTATTCATTGCATTTATACAGTGCCCGTTTGAAAAAATAATCGTCACAGGCGCTTCAATATATTAGATGCTATTAAGGGCCGAACAAATAGGTTTTCAGCTGTCTCTTGAACTGACTTAGAGTAAAATCACCACTGCGCAAAGTGTTTTGAAGGCTAAGTTTTGAAATGATGGATAAATCGATTTGCTTTTTTTTGCAAACTTTTTGTGATAACCTGAATTTTGTGGTAGAACCGCCTGAAACCATCATTTGCCATCTCTCTCTCTCCACGTGTTTGCAGTTGCTTCTTCTATTTCGAAGACTTTTTAATTGATTGTTTAAATGGGCTATAATTAGACCAAAATGTTAATGGATTAATTAATTATTTTATTTATTTATTTACTCATAATTTTCATTATAAAACAAGTTTTTTAACTTTTATCAAATAAATAAGTAACGTTTTCGAATCAATCAAAATTAAATGTCAATAAATTAATTTTTTAAAATTAATTTGAAATCAGCTTTAGTATTTCTTCATACAAAACGACTTGTCAATATTTGAAGCACAATTGTTAATTATTCATTGAACAAGCAACCGAAAAGGCACTTAAGCCTTAAGAGTTGAGATTATTACTACACTGTTGAACTATGTACATTGACCTATGTATTAACTTTTCGTCCCACCCATGCTCGCATACAACAGGTGATGGAGTTGTCTACGTGTGGAACATGAAGACGTTCAAATGCATGTTCAAGTTCCAAGATGAAGGGTGCACCCAAGGAACAACCATTCACATCTCTTCCAATACTAAATATCTGGCTACCGGGTTTGTTTCTTTTTTTCTCCCCCCCCCTCTCTTTCTCTCTCTATCTCTCCCCCCTCTCTTTCTCTCTCTCTCTATCTCTCTTTTCTCTCTCTCTCTCTCTCTCTCGCTATGTGCGTGCATGTCTGTGTACCGATTTAATAATTTTAATCAATCTTTATTGGCGCTGGTTCATTTCTTTAGTTCAATATATTCTCAATCAATCTTAATCTTTATATTGTAATTCAAATTTTAAGTTTATAATTTGGCATTTTTGGATAAAATTGTTTGATGCTGGTTTGATGCGATCCGCACAAAGAATTTTTTTTCAAATATCAAATACATTACATTTGTTTTTAAGTTATGTAATTCCACCAGTTTCATTATTTATGCTTACAATGGTTGTTAGGGGTGGGTGAACAAAGATTTCCTGATTTTTAATTTTTTGGAAATTATAGAGTAACTTTTAAAATTTTAATCCTTATAGAATAACTTTTAAATATTTGATATTATCATCACGGGAAAATATCTAAATTGGAAATGAATGGATCGTTAATTAATTTCGTTGAAATAGGTCTCACACCGGTGTTGTTAATCTTTATGAGACGTCGTCACTCCTTTCCATGCCTAGCAACTCAACCAAATTTTGCCTGCCACAGCCTAAACCTATCAAAGCCATACCCAACATCACAACCACGTGCACAGCTGTCAAATTCAATGAGAATTCAGAACTTTTAGCTATGGCGTCCAATTATGCAGAGGGATCCGTTAAGTTGGTCAGTTCGGTTGTGTTGCAGATGTTTGTTTTTTGACATATGTTTGTTCATGTTTTTTGGTCCTAAGTTGCATCAAGTGAATTTTAAATAACTTTTTGTCTTATTTGATTTTGTGTTAATGATCTTGTTTGGTAAGAACTTTGACTTTTGATTGCTTTTGGCTGACTAAATTAAAAAAAAACCAATCCTTTCGTTTTTTTTATTAAATGAGTTAATTTAAATTTAAATCTGCAGTTTCATACTCGATCGCTTTCCGTTCTTGCAAACTTTCCGAATCCTGCAAAACCACTCGGAATACCTTATTCGTTAGATTTCTCGCCTAACTCAGGCTACTTCTCGGTTGGAAATCATCATGGTGTGGCTCACCTTTTCAGGTATTTTTTATTTTTAATTCTTATATTTACGTACTTATTTATTTATGACGTGTCGGAGTCATAATACATTTTCTATAACAAATTTGTGAAAATTCTGTGAAATCCTAAAAAAAATACATTTTTAATAATTCATGCAGGCTGAAGCACTACTCGAAATACTGAGACAATTTGTTAATTTTTTGTTTAATTTTATTTGTTTTTTTTTAATTTTTTGCATTATTTAATAAAATTAGAAACTATTGTTTTTCTTTTTGTACTAACTTTATTATAAATCCCATGTTATATTTCAAAACTTGACGGGTTGGCTCAAACCTTAAAGTGCCGTTTCTCGCTCGCTCGCGTTATTGCATTGCGAGAAATCATACAACTTATCCAAGAAATTTTACATCTCCAAAATATTTTACAACGTACATACAAATTTTAAAACGTTTATAACTAAACATGTTTTGTTTGTCTTATTGGAAATGTAACAAACTCTGAGCTCAGTCAGTGGTGAATAAATATTTTGATAAATATTTTGAAGATGTAAAATATTTTGGAAACTTAAAATATTTTGGAAACGTAAAATTTCTCGTAAAGCCTGTATTGCGCAATGGTCTGTTCCGGATACAATCTTTTTGAAGATAGGGAACCGTCATATTTTCGTGCTTTTTTGATAATGCCGATAAATGTGAATCAGGTTTCTCAAGATCAGTTATAAAATGCGAACTTATAAACATGATGACCGCGTTTGGCGTAGAGATTAGGTTACGATGACCGTGGACGGATAAGTTGATTCGAATATATTATGATTGATGTAACAACGGATTGTTTTATTGCGCAAAATAAATTTATCTGTTACATTAAAACGGCAAACATTTTCATTAGACTTACGCGGCATTTATTTATCAAGTTATTTGACCTTACCAATTCATTTAAAAAAAAACAATTTTGACCTTGAGTTCTTCAGAAACCTATCATAGTTCAGGCTGGCGTTTGCTCTGATAATTTTCTTCAGATCATCGTCATCATATCTCGCATGGACTTTCGCGACTTTTTTTCTACTCAAAGCTCATCACCAGTCCTACAAAGCTTTTGGAACCAGCTTTGCATAATACGCCCAGAGGCACCGACATTTCATGCTTCCACAATGTTTCTAGTTACATTAGCCGCGTTTTGTCCGAGATTAAACTTTTGAAGCAAAATAGTTTGAAAATCACTCCGACAACATTTTAAAATTTCACCCAAAACACGGTAGAGTGTTTGACTATATATTTAGACAAAGGAACAAATACAATAATCTATAATTATCAATATATCCATTGAAACTAATTTAATTTGCCAAAAATTAAGTTAAGCCGGCGTTATTTTCAGTGTTGTATAGATTACTTTTGGAAAGTAATCTGATTACAAATTACTTTTAAAATTAGCTTGAGATTACAAATTACAGATTACTTTGCAATGATGTGTCCGATTACAGATTATATCATCAAACTTTTTGAAATTACAGATTACATCATAAGAATTTTATTTAATGAATGTCACATAGTCTTATGAATTATTGAATTATTAAATTGTAATTATTCATAAAATAATTTGAAAAATTGTATTTTTTTTAAATTTCATGAAATTTCAAACAAGTTTGCGACTTTGCTTATCCTGCTTCATATCGTTCTTGAGCAGACCAACTTTTTAACATTACGTGAGCGGTCTAACTAATAAGCATACGACGTCAATGGATAAACTATTTCTTTTTGAATAAGTCATTTTTTTAGTTTTTTAACTTCAAATTTTAAAAATCTTAAATATTTAAAAAAATGTATTGTTGTTGTAGATTAAAGTAATCTAAAATAAAGTAATCGTGACACCTGTTTAGATTACAGATTACGCAAAAAATGTAATTTGATTACAAATTACAGATTACTTTTATAAATGATGCGAATACAGATTCAAAAAAATATAATTGATTACGTAATCGAATTACTTGTAATCTGATTACTATACAACACTGGTTATTTTAACCCCATCCTAAATACACTTCTGTTTAATTATTTAGTGAGCTCTTTACATATTCATATATTTACTTATAATAAATAACATTGAACAGGAGCAGCCGACAAAACTATGCACACATCAGGCGTGCTGTAATATTGTGAATAGCATAAATTAAATTTTAACTATGCATACTTGTACAAAATAATGAACTGCAGAGTTTTATGACAAATTTATATATATATATATAAAATATTATGAAATTATTTTAATGTTAATCAGAATGTTTGAAAACACAAAGGAATATAATAATTCGTCATAATGAAAAAAAAAAAATTTATACTACCAAATGTTTTTAAATCCTAGCGATTGAACACAATTTATTTGGGCAAAGATCCTAAAATTTTTATAGAATACTTCTACATAGTATATGTAGCGATAATAAGAATTTATGTTTTTTAATGTTTAAACTTGCGCTGTTAAAATTATTATTATAAAGGATAATAATGATTGTAACGAAATTTCTAACGTTAAGTGAACGTTTAGTTTTGCTAGAGCTAGCTCACATAACCGAAAACAGTATGAAATAAATTTGACTTCGTCAACAGTGAAATTTTATAAAGTCATAAATTAAGCTGGAGTTTATAATGACAACAAAACTAATTTTGATTTTTTCAAAAATTCATTGATAATTGACAATCATAATTTGCTACTCAAAAATAATAAAGAAAACCAGCTCATCCAGTGCGGCCACCTAATCACAAGTAGTCAATGTTCTACAGTATTTTTACAAATAAAAATTAGATGCCCCATTGACTAGAAAAATCGCATAAATTAAAATGTGATAAATAAGTACAAAATATCATATAACTTAAAAGGTTGTTAGCAAGCTAGCAAAAAAAAAACTTAGATGATAAAAAATTTCTTACTTCACATCTGGGCAATAACTGAATTATGTACCATAAACATTAATCATTATATAAACTATTGCATGCAGAACATCATTGTCGAAATGAGGACGGCGTGAGGTGAATTAAAGAAGCGATTTAGCTCGGTTTGGGTCAAAACATTGGGCTTGTGTGCTTTTGTGTGATTTTGTGTGCTTTTGTTAGGAGACATCGTTAGGCGAAATGATAAACGAAAGTTAAAAAGTTTAAAAAAGCAATTATTTTATAAAAGTAATTCAATTAAACTACGTTTTAATTAACTTACTTAAACTAACATTTTAACAAATAATACAACAATTACACTAAAAGGTATTGAATTGAACGTAATGAGCTCAATTTTCACCGGTGAAAAAAGGAGCCTAGTACTTCTTTTGAAGATTCATTAAAACAACTATATTACCACAATAATTTATAAGTTTTAATATAATTTAATTTATCAAACAAAAAATTTTTTTTTCTAACATTCGCTCAAATAAAATAAAAAATGATCGTTATTTGAAATTCAATTATTCCCTTTGAGTTATCACGTGGTGAAACAATGTTTTGACTAATACCTAAAAAACGAAAATACTAGGTGCATCCTACGAGTCATAAGAAGTGTCACGCTACGTCTGTTATAGTAATTAATACATATGGTATGTACTGTGAATCGATCTGAATATTAGTAGTAGTTATCGGATGCGATAGTATCAACAACTGAGGCGTAACGATCATCGTTAGGATTGTCTTCAGTGACATATTCAGATTTTTCAATACTAGGAGAGTGCATGGTTATATATTGCTTGTCGTTGAGTTCGACGCTGACGTTTGTAAACTTGTTTGAAGTTGGTGTCATAAAATTTGGCGATGGCGTTGCTTGCTTGTTTTGAGAATTCGACATGCCGGTCTTCTTAACGTTAACAATTTCTTGAACGTTGTGACGTTGTAATGATGCGTCACTTTTGTTGTTTTTCAAGTTCTGGCGCCTGGGAAGCAATCGAAGACTGAGAAGACAAAATAATAGTATAAAAAATGTTTAAATCAGCTAATAATAAACGTAAAGTTGGCTTGTAATCAAAATATAATTGAAATAATAAAATTCTAAACCGTTTTCTTAGTAAAAATGCTCCCAAAGTCAGCAGGAGAAGAATAATCAGCATTGCAACCATGGCTGAAACAATGGCTCTCACATGTAACTCTGCGTTAATCATTAATTAATTATTCGTTGATAATTTTTCACTCAGTTTTCTATTTATAAAAATATATTGCTAAAAACTTTTTTTCTATCTAGAAGTTTTGTTAAGTTCTGACTTTGATTGTCGACGACCTCATTATCTTGAAGATCCTCGATCGGTTGCGTGGAGTTGTCGTCGTAAGCAGTGATGTCGGGATTGTTGTTGTTTATATTGTTTTGTGGAATGTTGCAAGTCATCTGGACATTTCCTGGATGAAAATTTATTTGGACTGAAATTAACTGATTGGATTCAATATAAGAGTTTTAAATTAATTTGACTAACTTTTAGATTTTAGCTACCAACAATTTAAATAGATTACATATAGATAATAAATTTAAAATTTTTTAAATTTGCTAAACAATTTATAGAAAATAATTTGTCTGATATAATAAATTATAGTCTACCAGTTTCAAATTGTAGAAAAATTTGAAAGGTGTCTTTGCTGGTTTGCATGTTGTTTTTGTACGATATATTTACAAAAGTTACATCTTCAAATTCTAATTCGATTTTCGGTTCGATCCACCCGTGCAAACACTTTTGCATCCACCAATGTTTTCTCTTAGAACTCTTCCTATTAACTTTCATCTCAAACGTTACCTTGGATTTGCAGTTGGAACTCAGAGATTGAAATCCAATAATTTTTATTTCCAGGTCGTCATCAGTTTGCGGCACGAAGTGACACCAGCATCCATTCGACGAGTTGGCTGTCGGGATGTGGAAAACTTCGAAGGTCTGCTTCTCTGGCGTGGTGATGTGTACTTGACTGCATAATTCAAATTTGCTGCCACTTGTATATCCTGTTAAGTTTGAAGCAATTTTTTGAGGTGAATTTTTGATGAACATTTATTAAATAGTAACTATTTTTCCGAAAGTAAAATTTGAAAAAAATTAAAATCTTCGGAGGATTACAATTTAAGAAAAAATAAGCAAGTTTGTAGTGTGGTTACTATCCATTAATCAATAAATACACGGGAAACTTCATTACACTATTACAAGCACGTGTGCGTGTACATTGAGCATCCATTCAATTCTCACTTGCGCAGCACTGGAGATAGCAGATGCACGCCAGATATTCAACAAGTTTCATTCCGAAAAATTGTTCTTTCTTCAAAGATCCAACTAAAATCTATGAGCCAAGTAGGCTTCATTAGATTCGCTCATTATATAGCAGTACGCCAAAAAACCCGTTTAAATCACAATTTACATAATGAATGTAATGGTCGTTATGAAGTGCACGATACACAATACATAATATATGTATTGACATAGGTATAATAAATTATTTATAGTATTCTACACAAATATAACATGCTGGTAGAAGACCAAATTCTTGACAATATGAAATATATTCCACCGGTTTATTAGTATTTATCTACTGATATTCAAATTTTTCAATTTCTCTCAGTAAATTTTTATCGACAAAATTAAGAAATAAATAAATAGACTAATAGAAACTAATAGAAATAAAGTTTCAATTTTTAACAGACTTAAATTGATCGATAAATTGAAAACTTTGAATATGATTTGATAAACACATAAAAATCAGTGGAACTTATACGTATACAACATGACGAAGTGGAGAAACACTATGATGACTGCTGAAAATGAATGTTGAATTGAATTAAGTTTGTATTAACACATCAAACTTAAGCTAAACCTATCCACACCTGATACATCGCTAGAATAATTTGCAAACAAATGTACCAATTAAATTTGAATTAGTGATTTAAGAATGTGCGATTGTGTTACTTTTTGTTAATTTTTTTACTTCGTTTTATATCTACAGAACTGATCGTACCTGTTAAAACGAGAACATTAAATTACAAAAATTTTGCAACGAAAACAAAAAAAATAAAAGTTTGTATGTCATGAATTTAAATAAAAACCGACGCGTTAATAGTCTAAGAGTAGTCAGTAGATATGACTCAACTCTGATCAGATAATGAAATATAACACCACCAAGCAACGTCAACTCAACGAAAAACATTTCTAAATTTTAGCGTTTCTTTTAAATGTTACTGAAGAATTCAGTCTATGCTGCAATCGATCAATTTGTTATAATCTGTTATATCAATAAAACGTTATGTTATGTCATGTTATGTCATGTTCTGTTCTGTTATGTTGTGTTATGTTCTGTTACGTTAAAGACTTCTGAGACTCGTTCAGAATTTAGAGAGCCTGTTTCAAATGGATCTTTTGTGTTCGACTTGACCTGCTTGTCGTCATGTCAAGACCTCCACGGAGACAAATTGTAAAAGCAATCTAGAAACTATTAGTGTGCACTTGTGCTTGGGGAATCTTCTTCAGTTTGTACAATTATGTTTCGTAAATTCATCGTATTTTTAAAAAACTTTTTAAAAAGTTTAACACCATCTTTTTTTTAATTTGTGGTTAAATTTTTATTTTTAGTTACACACAACTCTTTTGAATTAATTAAATAAAATAATAATATAATTAAATAAATGTTAAAATAATTATAATTAATAAACAGAATTAATATATGAATTAGTTAAATAAAAAAATTTAATTAATTTACTCTCGATACCGGAATTGTTAATTTTAAACAAATTTACAAAAACTAACCAGCGCTGCAAAACAACTCATATCAGTTCATTTTATTTCAAATCAAATCATTCGTTTAAAATAGTAAAATAAATCAGTTCTATCAATGAAAATAAAAAAATTTTCACCACCTGATTTGAAACCACATTTTGAAAGATTTATGCAGAGAAAGTGAAATAGTGCATGTGTAAGAATGCGAGTAGATAGTTTGAAATGCGATCGCCAGCGTCCTATTAACATGTCTCTTACGTAGGTGGCTCGGTTCATTACTAACTTTCTTGCCGCTCAATGAATCACGTTAAATAAATTGATTGGATGACGTGCTATTTTAAGCCAGATTAAAATTTTAATTTAATCTCAGTTCTGAATGATTATACCCATAAATCCAAGTTACATCCATTGGTAACACTAGCGTTTTGAAAGAGCATTTTTGAAAAACTGCCTCTCACTGATGTGAACGTTAGATGATTGATGAGGCCGCACGAAGCAGCCCATAATCGCTACGTGAATGCAATGTGTCCTGTTCAAATTAATGATAGGTTCTTCCTTTAATCTCTGGTCAGCTCAGATCTACTCACACTGGCGCAATATTATACAGCATGCTGTTTTCAATACGGGATGCGGATCGTTCGTTCAGGTTTGCAATGTGACTTGAGGGTTGCTATTCTATTTTGCAACTTTCAAATTAATTTTTTATTCTTTGCCTCTCCAGCGACAAAAATTAAATTGCCAACCTATGGTAAAGCTCGCGAATTAGCGTCATTCCTGAACGTCGGTAATAGCTTGGTAAATAAGCTGCTTTTCAAATCAAATCAAATAATGATAAAAATCTAAACGAATACTAAAAATCAAATAAATAAATTAATGTGCACGTGAAGTCAGACCACAACAGAAATACACACACACACACACACACACACACCACACACACACAAACACACACACACCAACGAATGAAGCTTCAGGCAGGCAGACTGAACGAGCATACATCAGCGTGCCATCCTGCCATCCAATTAGACCATGCAACCATATTAGCCAACAAACATGCTCGCCAGAACAGTGCGCATTCATAATGAGTTACGGCTAATGATTTTTAAATGTTTTTTAATGTTACCGATTTGTTTACATGGAAATTTTAACTTGAACCATAAGTCCATGAAGCATTCGATGGCCAACATGAAAATGTACATTAAAAGTTGCTAATTTGGCAATAATTACTTTGAAAGTTATTTTTTTTAGAAGCGATTCAAAATAAAAATAAATTGGCAACTGTTGTTTATCTTGTTTTAGTTATGCTAGCAATTAATTGTTAACTATTCGCATCACATTTATTTAAATGGCAATAACTTACGTTACACAAGTTAAATTTAAAATTAATTGAAGGACTACAACTGTAGATGAATTAAAGTGGTTAAATATGGTGCATTCATCTGGTTTCAGCACTATCTGCCCCGTTGTACGCCTCGTGCATACCAGGCGGAACGTTTGTTGTGTAAGCTTTTGAGATAAATTGAAAGCGACATAAATGGAACTTTGCATTTGTCAGAACTGCAAAATAATGAATAAAAAAAGTTCTAGTGCTAATAATGAGATGCCTGCCCGCACATTGACATTATATGTTGTTGAAAACCTTTCGATAGAAGTTTTCGTTGTTTTATAGTTATAAAGTTACCTATCTGTCTTTATTTCATATTGTTATCATCGTTTGTTTATACCGAATGAAATTTTTAATTAAATTTTTTTTGCATTCAATTGATTGGTGTAATGAAATAGAGCTCAGATAAAATTTTGAAATTCTTTGAAATTTGCACCGGTTTGCCTCCTGAGTTTTATTTTTCCACTCTGATAGAAGAAGTGTCTCAGCAGCTGAGTGATGGACTGCCACCTGATATGATGTAACTGCCACTTCTCGTGATGTCATACCAGTTTTTATGGCCGTAAATACTATTTTAACAAATTTGTTTTAAAAACTAAATTGTCTCATGTTTTCAGCGAAAGCCAGCGGCGATTGAGTCTACGTACGTTAACGAACCACTTCAGCGGGCTTTGATGGACACCACGTGTCATGAAGGCGATGAGAAATTGATTCGCACTCGCATGTTTAAAAACATGTCGCCTGAAGGACAGCCTTACATTGAAATCGATGACTTTATTTCAACATAGAGCAAAGTTCATCTGCTTCAAAACTATCACTCATTATAAGACCAACTCGCCACATCGTGCGAACATTAAGTTGATCGATGCTTCTCAATTCCCGCACAAAATCAATCGTTTTAGTTCGTATCTTTAAAATGAAGTGCCACTGATGTTACGGAGGAAATGAAAGTAACCATTGATGTCTCATCTACAGATTATTGAGAATATGATGGATATATTAATATTCAAATGAATGTCGAAGAGCCAAAATATCAAAACGATTAACATGAGACTTAACTTAATAGGCAATAGCCTTATAGTGTGTTACAATTATATATTAGATCAGAATTAGTCTTGAAACGTTTCGGTTTATTTTAATTTATATACAAAACGGTTTATGCCACCACTCATTTTTTCACGATGCCAGCATCTTACATAACATAACAAGAAAAAAATTAATGAGCGCAGGTGTACAATCCATAAGCCCAAATCCCCAAAAATTAGTTAATTAAGTGAAAGCATAGATTGTTCAAGTAATAATAAAAGTACTACACAGACACACACTCACACGTCTCCAGCTTATCCACACTAATACTCACATGCCAACACAAATATCAATCAAACTGGATAATTTGCACGCCATTCGTACCTCATCTCAAACTCAATAGTGAACTTATCAAACAGAACTTTAAATTGATTTATGGATTTTCCACCCACAATTTCCTGTGGTAAAGAATTCCATACTGGTATAGTTCTGTTAACAAATGCATATTTACTCATGGTTGTTCTAACCTTATTTCGTTCTAACTTTTCATCGTGTCCTCTAGTTATCGAATCTGTACATAATTTTAGATCTGGATATAAATTATTATTCAAGTTATCATTCAAAATATTAAACAAAGTAATTAAATCTCCTCTGATTCTACGAAACTTTAGTGCGGATAAATTTAAAAACCTCAGCCTTTCTTGTATTTCATACAACAATTTAGTAACTCTTTTCTGAACTCCATCAATTTTCCCTTTCAAACCAATTTGTCATTGTGACCCTACAGCAGAAACATAATCAAATTTAGATCTGTCCATAGATTTATATAAAGTCAAAAATGAAAATTTATCCAAACCAAAAAATTAGATTGAATTAAACCTATTATTTGATAACATTTATTCACAATACTATCTACATGCTCATCAAATCTCATTTTATCATTATATGTAACACAGAGATCCTTAATAGATTCAACTTTATTTAACAAACATTTCCTGGATGCAGATGGAAGATAAAAATGCACGTCAAAATTTTAAAAGCAGCCAATGAAGGCAATTTTATGTAATTTTTGTGTTTTACGAGTGATCAAACAAACACCATTGGTCGGCTAACATTCGTCTATTTTTCATTATTTCGAGTATTATAAAATATTATATGAAGATGACATACGATTTTGTAGTTTCATACGTTAGAGGCTTCTACAATTACAACTCTGCTGCAGAGACCTGGATGCAGATGGAAGATAAAAATGCACGTCAAAATTTTAAAAGCAGCCAATGAAGGCAATTTTGTGTAATTGAGCATGAAGGAACTGCCCCCGGCTGCCGCCTCAAATTGACATCTTCCGGCAATTTCTCACTCACCGAATGTCTCCTCAGCTAAATTTCTAAACCCAAATTACGTGTTATTCATATTAATTATATAATTTATATGGATTTTATATATTTTTCACTCTTCTTTGAATGCATTCTCGCGATGAAGACCTGTGATGAACAGGACAGGAAACGCGAGGAACTTATAAACGTTGTTTGCCTGCGATGCATGCCACACAACAGACACCAGATGCACGCAAATATAGACATTCGTATCGTGAAGAACTTCTTCGTTATGTGTGCATGCATTTGCCTGTCGTAAAGAAACGAACCAAGTCAGAAATACGTGCACGGCTTGGTAAATAACGTTACGTGCAAGTTTGATGCACACATTCATTATATAAATGTCGTTGCAAGCAGTGAAACCGAAGACACGCTGAAGGACGGAGATGTTTGAAGTTAGATCAAATAATATATCGTAAGGGCAATTAAATTTAAAACACATGTCCACAGGCGAACAGATGTGTGCGCGTTCAATTTAAGTGCGTGCATGTCATTCCACTTCATTTTATGCACTTGTAATTTAATGCACCGTCGCTTCTTATCTAACGTTTCTATATTATGAAAGAGAAGAACTTCGCCTGCTTATATTTGCTTGCTGCCTAACCGAATAAAAATTACTTACAAATATGTTGGTGTTGACTTACAGCGGTATATATATTATTTTGAGTAAATTAATTCTCACTAAATGTCATTTCGATTTGGATACTCTTTCTGATTTTGTGAACGATTCAACAATTTATTACGATGAGAACGAGAGCGAGAACATGGACGCCAACGATCGCATGTTCCTGATCCGGGAAGGAATATTCGAGGATATACCTGGCTCTGATGTCCTCCTACAGACAAACAATGGTCAACTGGTCGGCAAAATTAGGAGAGGACCGGTGCCAGTTGAAGGTTATATCAGTCTTTTTTGCACAATTAAGATCTCTTTGTTTTTATACTCGCACACAATTATTGACATTTCAAAACAAAAATTATGGAAATATACACAAAAAATGTTATTCAGTAATTAAAATGACTTAGGTAAGCAAGATATGTACGAATATATAAGTTGGTTCATTGGAGTTCCGTACGCCACCCCGCCCATCAACTCTCTAAGATTTAGAGTTAGTCCAATTTGCAGCTTGAGTTGTGTTATAGACTCCATTAAAAAAGTTTTGAAATTAAGAAAAAGTAAAAAAATTCTTGTAACCTTAGAAACATCGTGCAACATCAACAGAAAACAGTGAAAGCTAAACCATGGTTAGGTGTGAGAAGAGCCACAAAGTTTGGCTACGTGTGTCCGCAGAACTACACGGGAGGCACTTTGAAGTACATCGAGAACGAGGACTGCCTCTTCCTCAACATTTACTCGCCCACACAGGTTGCCAATCATTAAACAATTTTGTTATTATGTTTGTTTCATGTGTATTTTATGTTCTATATTTATTCCATATTAGTTTGGTGTTAATTTAAAAAAATTTGATATAGTAAACTTGAAAAAATTTAAGTGTCAGAAATAGTATAACCGTTTTGAAAAAAAATTTACTTCTTAAAATCGTGCATGCGGTAATTGTTCCAATTTGTGATCGGTGTTAGTTCACACATTCATCTAATAACTACTAATCATTCATAAATCAAGCCACATGTTTGCCTATTAATAAGATCTTCACAGAAGCAATAAACATTTTGAGATAATTTTTTTATATTTTTTATTATTTTTTAAAAAAACGTGAATGTTCAACAAATCCTTAGGTTACATAGTTGTGGCTGCATGTTAAAAATTAGATGTCGATTGAAATTATTCGTTATTATAAATAAATAATTATGAATAAATATTTATGAATAAATATTTATAAATGAATATTTATAAATGAATATTTATGAATAAGTAATTATAAATAAATAATTATGAATGAATATTTATGGATGAATAACCACGAATGGGTAATTATGAATGAATAATTGTAAAGGAACAGTTATGAATAAATAATTTCTGAGACCAATACCTCTTTAATATTTACGTCATTTTTTAATATGTTTTTTAAATAGCAGTATACAGATATTGCATTTTTATCTGAACGACACCTTTCTAACTTACTCAATCGCAGTTGAATGAATGAATATGAAATTATAAAAGCAATTTTTACTCGTCCAAAACTTTTGTGACTTCATTTTCGGTTTCATTTTGCATAGGGGCTACCTCATATATATATTTATTATTAATTTATTGGTTAATATAGTAATAAATATATATGGTGTATTTTGTTTTAGCAGAGTCGTAATATAACTTTATGTGAAGTTGTTTTTATGAAACATCGAAGGGCTGATCAACATGTGATGGTGATCAAAGTTTAAATGCTTGACGCATCTACATCGCATGAAATTAAATAAAAACTGGAATTTTCTCAACTTTGATTTATATATTCAACTTATTTTTGATTTTATTTTAAAATGGATTTACGAAAATTTCGCTTTCAACTTTGTTTTAGTATTATTTTCACACTTGTACGTTTAAATTATGCATGTATTTGTACCAACATTGGACTGGCGGCTACAAAACAACAGCAAAACACGTAAGGTCTGATTGTTTTTGTCTGATGTATGTGTGTTACGTTGTGACCTTGACCTTTCACAATCAACATGAACCATCGCAACCCTCAACACGAATATTTTTTGTTGCTTGTTACGGCCTTAGTTCTCTGCGTTTGGTAGGAATGTTAACACAAAAATATCAAAATAATTAAAAAATAACCACTAATAAATAATGAAAATAAGCGAATGAAGGGAAAATGTGATAATAATTTAGCAAGTGTGAGTGGATAAGTACAGAGATGAACGGATGAGTTATACAAAAATAAACTATATATTATTATTATTAAATGAAAATTTATAAATCGCTTTTTAATAAAATCTCAAAAGCGCCTACAATAAGTGCAAGAAAAAATAAACAAGAAAAAAGAAAGAAAGTTGTTGATTGTCACTCAGTTAAATGTCAGAACACACATATATTTAACACAAAATCAATAAATAAATAGATGACCAAAAAGAAGTAATACTAATTCAAATGACGATTTTTAGGATTTATCCACACAAGTTACGACACAAGAATTAAAACAACATAATGATAGTACTGACTAATAAAAAACATAAAAAATAAAAAAAAAATTTTTTTTCATAATCACATTTAATTACAAGAACCGAAATGCTGCTTAAATAGCAGCAACTTTAATTGTTTACGAAATAGAGGAAATGATATTCCAAGTAGACGGAGTGAGGTTGGCAAATTATTCCACACCATCGGTATAGCAACAGCAAAATTTCTTTTACCAATCACCAAGCGGGTTTGAGGAACGTCTAACAAATTCCTATTATTGGATCTCAATCCTGGATAACCAGACGTTGAATCACGTTTAGTCAATCTACCGACCAAGTACGGAGGAGCACGCCCATTTAAAACTTTGAACATCAAAACAGCAATCTTGTAGATAATTCTCTTTTCAATCAGAAGCCAGTGCAGA